GGGGGGGGTTGATGATGAGGTTATATTTTTCTTCTTATTTTTGCATGCAAGGTGGGGGGAAAACCGACCGGGAATAGCTATTATTATTATATTATTCCTATTATTCCTCATTTTATTCTCCCTTCCTTCCATCCAATCTGGCTGCACAAACACAAGAGGCATACATATTGTTTTGCAGCTCTTCCTCCCTGGATATTTGCAAATAAAATAAAGGCCTTAAAAGCAAGAAGAAGAAGAAGAAGAAAAAACCCACCAAAAAAAAACTATAGAAGAAGAAGATTAGACATTACTTTTTTTTTTTTTCCCCTTCGGGGTTTTCGTTGCATCGAGGAAGAGCCCACCCGCAGCTACTTGGAACATCCGCCCCCAAGCGGTTCGGGGGGAAGAACTAGGAAAGGCCCCGGCTTTGCCAGCCTAACTAGGCCGCAGTGAGGGTGTTTGCAAAGCCTGGAGAGCGCTGGTCCAAAGCTGTGAGGCCTCCATTTTTTAGCTGTCGGAGAAGCTGGCAGAGGCTGAGGGTTTCCTAGCCGGGTTAAGGGTGGACTTTGTGGGGAGCCTTTGCCTTTTCTTCCAGGCGTGGGAGGTTGGGTCTTCTTGCTTGCTAGAGACATGTAGCGTTTTGTGATTTTGTTTTTATGTTGCTTGTTACAGTGTTAAAATTATTTGATTCAGGATCCTTTTTCTCTCCCCCTCCTCCCTCACATACATGGGCTTTATTTCAGGCTGGATGTGGGCCCAAAATGGTTTCATTGAGCCTATTTTGTATCTCTTCAAGGCTACTTATGGGCACACCTTGAACATCTTACAGGTTTTTGCTCCATCCTCACAAATTCCCACCCTTAGCAGCCATTTCCTATTGAAAAAAAAGCAACATTCTTCAGCGCCATTGAATATAGAAGACCAGAAGGGTCAGTATACCGGGGCCTGTTTAGTCCCTTTTTAGTTTGTCGTGTCCACCCTTTTCTTTTTCCCAAAACCAGCAAGTTTTTCCATTTGTCGTCGTCGTGTGCCTTCACAACAACTAGCAACTAACAACTTGTGTGCCTTCAAAACGAGCCTTTCTCCTCCTTCAAAATAACTGCAAGGGGACACATTCAGCTCCTTCAGTGGGACTGACTTCTGAATAAAAGTGCATAGGATTGTTCTGCTTAAAAATGTGCCACTGTTGTGTGCCTTCAAGTCATTTCTGACTTATGATGAACCTAAGGTAAACCTATCATGGGGTTTTCTTGGCAAGATTGGTTCAGAGGGAGTTTGCCTTTGCCTTCCCCTGAGGCTGAGAGAGTGTGACTTCATGCTCAAGGTCACCCAGTGGGTTTCGTGGCCAATGTAGGAATTGGATCCTAGTCTCCAGAGTCATAGTCCAACACTCAAACCACTATGTCACGCTGGCTCTAAGCTTTTCCCTTACCATAGGTAGAACATTTTAGCCAGCATGACCATGTAAACACAACTTGAGAGACCAGGATTTGAATCCTGGCTCAGCCATGGAAACCACTGGGTGGCCTTGGGCAAGTCACACACTCTCAGCCTTAGAGGATGGAAATGGCAAACCCCATCTGAAGAAACATGCCAAGAAAACCCCATGGGTCACCATAAGTTGGAAACAACTTGAAGGTGCATAACGACAACATTTTAAAGCAGAACAATCCTATGCACTTTTATTCACAATTCAGTCCTACTGAAGGAGCTTGATGTGTCCCCTTGCAGCTATTTTGAGGGAGGAGGAGAAAGGCTAGAGGCCAGGATTTGTTGCCTTGCTTTCAGACACATGGACAGAGTGACTTAACTTGACTGTTGGCATTATTTCAGTAAATAAGTAATTTATGATAAAGGGGAGAAAAAAAGAGGGGTCTGGCTATTTATAATTTGTCTTAAAACAACAAGAAGGCCTGTGTTCCCATAAAGACTAACAGACTGTATCTGACATAAGTCACAGTAGGTGTGGAAATTCATGTGAAATAATATGTATTTTGTTTTTTGTCTCTAAGGTGCCATTTCCAGTGTTGTGCTTCCTTTGTGAAATGGCTGCCTCTGCAAAGCACCACTCTGTGGCTGACTTCCATCCTGTACCAGGTTTTTTGGGTTTTGTATAATACAAGTGGACTGGTTCAAGGGCTAGTATCAAGAGTACACTAAAATGGAAAGAAATTACATGATCTGGACCTCCAATGACTGTGTGATAGAAAGCTTTATTTCATACTGGTATGTATGGAAGCCAACCACACTTCTCAGACGCTTTGAACTGACAACCTCACACAACAGTGGAGCTTGTGAATCAATCATGGAAGCCATTATAATATGAGAGACGAATGAGATGGAAGAATATATTAACATATTTCTTCATCCCATTCTTTTGTCATATTATAACTTATTCCTTCATCTCATTCTTCTCTCATGGTTGCATTTAGATAATATTGCCTTATTCCCTGGGCACTGACTGTTTTAGGCCGGGTAGCAGGCTGTTAACAAAATGATGGCTTCTATCCAGAAGATCTTGCACTGAATGACTCTGAAAACTCAACCAATGCAAAATGAAGGTGAAGGAGAATAACAATGGCTATGAATGATCCTCAGTGCCTGGAAGGGAAAGGAAAGAGAGACAGAAGTTGGTTTAGAGAACATTTTCAGGATCTACCACTGTGCATGAGGAATTCTGAGTTAAGGAAACAAACAACAGTGGAGTTCAACAAACATCTAGGGGTAGCTGTGTTGGCCATATAGCAAATCCAATAACATCCAAACAATGATACCTTTATTGGTACAACTAAAATGCACAATTACATGTTGCAAGCTTTCGAATTCACACTGGCTTCTTCATCAGGCAAATCAGAAAAAAAAAGTTGAAGATGTTAGTCTTGGGCCTGCATTTTCTATTTCTGATCTTGGTTGAGATGTTAGGGGAGGGCTATCTGCAGGCTGGCTCCTCCCCCTTTGGCTATGTGGTCTTGGAAAATTTTGCAAGCCAAGAAAATTTAATGTCCATTTGCAAACCAAAGAAGATGTTTCCTTGGAATCCAGCATGTCTCTTTCCTTTGTGAAGCCTCAGGCTCCTATGCAGGTAGAGAATGCTGAATTTCTCAAGAAAGCTTCATGTTTTGCATCAGGAAAACTTTAGGTGATGGAGGGGTAAAGCATGCCAATCAGTCCCAATATTAGAAAAAATTGCTTTACCTTTGTTGGAGGTAGTGTTGTAGAACTTGATTCAGTAGAGGTTCCAGTGCACTGGCTCTCTCTTTAGGATTCCCCTGTGACGGCTAAAATGCGGTATCTTGAAATCCAAAACCATCTAGGGGTAGATGAACAGTGGGTTTCAGGTATTGTTACTGTTGAGATAGCCCAGAAGAGGTTGTGAGGATCACTCAGATATAGGGAGATATAGGGAGATATTTAGATGGGCGGAGGGGGGGGGGGTTGTGAGAAGAAAAAGATGCATAGGTTAAAAGGTTATCTTGGTGCAGAAGTTATTGGGCACAGACCAGAGGTTAGAGGCTCCTGTGCTTTTTAAATGGTGTGGATTTCAGAAGGTTCAGTTGTTATGGCTTCATGTGCTTCAGACTTGAGAACAGCTATATCTCTAAGGACCTGGAATCCTGGTGAGAGTGGGATGCATGTTGTATTTAAGCAAGACCATCTGTGCAGGTACCTCTTTATGGGGAAAAGGAGTTGTGTAGGTGAGGTAAAGGCCTTGCTTTTGTAACCACCTTTCCAAAAGGATTGTTGCCACAAGGCCAGTGTTTTTTTACATGTATGCAGCTAATGGCTTGAAAGACAGCATGGTTTAGTGGTTTGAGCATTGGACTATGACTGTGAGGACCAGGGTTCGATTCCCAGCTTGGTCATGAAACCCATTGAGTGACATGAGTGAATCACATGCTCTCAGCCTCAGGAGAAGACAATGGCAATCCTCCTCTGAACAAGTCTTGCCAAGAAAACCTCATGATAGTTTTGCCTTAAGTCAGAAACCACTTGAAGGCACACAGCAACAGCAATGGCTTAAAAGACCTATAAGAAGCTACATTGTGGAGGGGAAGGACACTGTGTAGCCACCCCAAATGCAGCGCAGACCTATGTGCTGAGTTGAGTAGGGAAGGCATGCTTTTTGTAGATCACCAAGTGCTGAAGGGAGTAAGGGGAAAGCATAGCACACAATGGAAGATCTCATTCTCTTGGGGAGCAAGAGGCAAGGGGAACCCCGCTTAGCAGCCACCCTCTTTCTCCTGCGGCCGAATATCTTTTGTGTAGCAAAAGGAGATCCTGTGAGATTTTTTTTTTAAAAAAAAACAACTGCGGTCTCTTCTCTCTCTTTGTTAACTACAGACACACACAGATTTCCAGCCAGGTTCTGGGAGGTAAGTTGTGTAAGGAAAAAGAAAAGGCAAAGGGGATGATTGGAATGTAGGTGGCTGTTATGTGGGGTTGTTTTAGGGGGCTGTGAGGGGGAAGAAATGGGGCAAAAATTGCCCCCACACCAGAGAAGAGAGCAACCGAGCCCCTCTGATTTTCAGGATTTGTTGGCAACTCAGCGAGGGTTGCCATAGCTTTTTATGTAGGGTGACCAGAAACCGGCTGAAACTGGTTTGAGGCAGATCAGCTCCTGAACACAATGCAGTCATTGAGCTACTACAGTGGGATAGCTTTCTCCATGGCAGCCAAAAGCAGAGGATCTAGCAGAAAAGATACCACCATCCCCTAACAATATGTGAATGCACACTTTAGACACACAGCACTGGTATGTGGCTAATGTAATAGTCATAAAGGTTTCTGTGTATGTACATCTTTGCAGTGACTGCGATTACTTTGGCTGGTTCCTGCCTTTTTCCTTTTTTGGTGGTTTTATTTTTTTAAAAATGATTTTCCTTTTTTCCCTTTTGCTAAAGAAATGGACAACAGCTGAGATTTGCCACCTTGATTTTTTTTTAAAAAAAATGTTTCCTTTGTTTTACCAGGTGGTACACATGGATATCTAAGTGTTTTTATTCATTTTTTTGGAAGCTGAACAAAATAAAAATGGAATAAACGATTTCTATTCTGCTTATGCTTATAGCTGAGGATAGCTGCTTTGCATGCTGATTTTATTTACAGGATGCTGTCTTATAGGTTTCTTTTCAGGAAGAAAAAAGAATGTGTGTGTTGTGTCTGTTTAAAGGCCAGGAGCAACTATTGTTTAGAAGAATGTGCATGAAAGCATTTTAAAAAGAAGCTTATAAAGGCATACTCTTTTCTTTTCTCCTTGTAGGCCTATTGATTGGGGCTGCTTTAACCCTTTCAGGTTTTCAGTGGTTATCCATCTGTGGAACTATAGCTGACTATTGGCATTAAAAAAAATCACAAGTCAAGGTACACAAGGTGAGCTATGGCATTTTTTGAGTATGGTCACAATAGCATGGTGATAGTGTGTGTGTGTGTGTGTGTAAATTCTGAATGCAGTTTATAATTGCAAAGCCAGGCACATTTTAATGAATAAACAGTGGCTAAATTAGGCAAAGAAATACTATTAAACTCATCCAGATCTGCTAAGATTAAAGGTGTTGCATATAAAGGCTTATTGATGGCCAGACTAGCAATACTGCCTTTGTGTGGATTACCTTATAGCAGACATTTTCCCCATACTGCTAAATCAGAAGGGAACAGGCCCTGTATGGCAGTCATAAATTGTGGACCTCATGGTAGAGAGCTGATTTGCATTACTTGGCAGTTAAACTTTAAAAATAATTTTTCCATCTTACCATGAAAAAAATTGGATTTCCTACCCATCTCCCACACAACCTTGGCGTAAACAGATAATCTTGTTTTTATTTGTACATTGAAGGAAATATGACACTGAATACAATATATATTTTTATACAAATAGGAAGGTGTGCATAATGCCAAAGGTATAATGAATTTTGCTTATATACAACTCCACTGTATCAAAGGATTTTGCAGTTCAGTGGAAGGGATGCACTTTAAAGGTTTTGTAGAACTCCAGTGGATTACTAGTAGGATAAATGACAATACTCAAGCATTAATTACGTACAAATAGGAAACCGGATGGTGGCTGCATCAGCTGGTAAGGAATGTCTCCTTCTGACTCAGTGTTTCAGAGCATTAGATGATGGATAAGATTTGTTTTTCTTCTCTAAAAAATAAATGTGTACTTAGATTAGGGCAGACATTTTGCATCTTAGACTGAAGCTGGAGGCTCCAGAGAAAGGGAGCGGGGGAGGTAGGAGAGAATGCAATAATGAATGTGGCAAATGAAAGAACAAAGGCTCTTAGAGAGTATGTTGGAACACTAAACATTTTTTCCTTAGGGATTCTTTTGCTAGAAACAGGCGACTTTCCAAAACAGGAAATCATCAGGAACTTGGGACTTTTTACATGCATTAATTATGTTACAAAAATTCAGCCTCTCCTAGCTGTCTTTTGGTAATATACATCTGCAGTCATGGAAAAATATAATAAAAATAAAGATGGAGGATAAACAGGAGAAAAATGTGTTCTGATCCAGTTTGAAATTTAGGTTGTCCATTGTATTCAAGCGGAATAAAGTAGACAATATTAAAAGCCTTGGGAGTATTTTGATTGGGTAAGTTCCATGGAGGCTGGTGACAGACAGGGTTCGCTGCATTTAGAGGGTGACACAAGCATTAAGGAACCTCTTTATTTCCTGATTGTGCAGCAGATGACACAAGGTATTTAAGGAATAAATTGTAGTGTATTGAAAGTGGCATGTGATCTGTTAAGCTGGAAAATGCTTGATAGAAAGTTTTAAATCAGGTATAATGTATTGTGCTTCTCAAATTTGACAGGGCATTAAATAGCTTGCATGAGGGAGCCAAGTGTACTGTGATACCATCTTTGTGTTTTGCTTAATATCAGTATACAGTAGTTCTGTGTTTGTCTATAGATGTCTGTTTAAGAAGCCATAGTTCATGTTATAAGATGGGAGAAAACATGGGTGACTGCTCTGTATTGGGTCTGTTCTTTTTCTGAGGGCCAGTTGAAACCCACAGGGTACATAAGATCACTCTTAATATGTTTTGTAGGTTTTTTAAACTGTAACATTTCATTTTGTGGCAATATTCTTAGTGTATTTAGGATTTGTAAGTAGCATTGCACTGTGCATGCTTGTATATGTGTGTCTGTGGGTTGCCTGCTGCCTTTATTTTCTCTTGCTTACTGCAAAGATTCTTCCCAGCACAGACAAACACATCCTTTAAATATTATGCTGTGAACGGTTTGTTGTAACATGAGAAACTTGAATGGATAATTGTTCGTGATTCGTCGGCTGTTTTTATACACATGCATACACAGAAGAGATTTTGAGGGTTTTTTTTTTTTTTAAAGAAACATGTAGGCCATCCTTTTAAGCTGAAAATGCAGATTTGAGTACTGGCACTCTTAGCAGGAGCTCATGTTGGAGTCTGCTTTTGCTCTGTAGCTGATTCTGCCCTGGGACACATTCTTTTAATATTTAATGGAGTTTAGATATTTTCTGAAATTAAATAATTGGACTTTTTTTTAACCAGACGTTTCAATACAGCATAGAAGATATACATAGCAAGGATATTGATTTGTCTGGGCAAGTGTGAAAATGTTGACCCAGACATTTCTAGGCCTGCTTTTTGCCAGTCATATGTTTTTCCCCTCCTTGGCATTACCTCAGTGCCATCTATTGTACTTTTAGGAGATAAACCAATGGAAAAGCAAAGTAACTAGGCTGCTATACTTGCTTGCTGTTGTGTTCATTATCCTGGGTCCAAAGAACAACATGAGGGCGCCCAACTGCTCTGTCAGATGTGCAGGAATTTTCCTGGTTTTCACATCCAATAGCAGTGCTTTTCCTGCAGTGTGGAGGTGGATTCTGTGGGCCCCCTGTTCTCAGGGTGGGTCTGCCTGGGGTTGAAGGAGGGACTTGAGAAATCCTGGTACAAATTTAGGAGATATGCACATTTTTATTTGAATTCTTCCAGGTTATTCTTTTTAGTTTAATATTTAATGGGAATAGACTGTCCTATAGTAAGTTGTAGTTGTGTACCTTCATTTCCAAGTTATGGCAACCCTATCACAGGGGGTTTTTTTTGACAAGTTTTTTTCAGAAGAGTTGGCCATTGCCGTTCTCTGAGGCTGAGAGAATGTGGCTTGCCCAAGGTCACCCAGTGTCTAAGTGGGGATTCCAACTATGTTCTCCCAGAGTTCTAGTCCAACTCTCAAACCCCTACACACTGGTTCAGTGCTAAAAACGGTACTTTTTTAAAAAGATGGCAAAATGCACTGCTTAATTCCTGCTTGAGGTCTGGTTTCCATCTTGGTGATATTTACATACATTGTGTTAAGCAGAACTGATAATCTGAATATGTGGACAATCTATTGGCACGGGAAATTACATATCAATCCACCCACACACCTTTTGGTATTGTTGTTGTGTGCATTCAAATAATTTCTGACATGGCGACCCCAAGGCTGTTGTGGGGGTTTCTTGGAAAGTTTCTTGAGAGGGGGTTTGCCTTTACCATCCTCTGAGGCCGAGAGAGTGTGATTTGCCCATGGTCACCCAATGGCCAAGTGGGGATTCGAACCCTGTTCTCCAGAGTCATCATCCAGTGCTCAAACCACTGCATCACACTGGCTCTCAGATTTACAGGGCACCTCATTATCCATCTGTTTCTCTTGACACTTTGTTGGATTTCAAACCATAGGCATGTAATTCTTTTATGATGGCAATTGAAACTAAAGTCCACTGTATTAGGTGAAACTTTCTAAAAGCTGAGGGCCCAAGGGCTGAAATATTTTTGGCATCCCAGGGGCCAGGAAGTCTGAAACTTTACTGCTGGCCTCCAGGCAATTGCTTTTGTTA